AGGGAGGTTTTAATCTGTAGGAAAAGCTGTAAAACTGAAAATACAAAAGTCCAAAATTTCTTGTGAGCAGCAGATCAAATAGGTTCATTGTAAATGGCTTCAAGTGCACATTCAGGCCTGTACAACTCATTTAGACATTGAGCCATGGCTCTGTAAACAAGCAGACATGTCTGCCATTCAAATACACTTTTTTGAATATAAAACTATATACAAACTAAACTGTAAATGTAATTCAAAGAAGCTATTTGTATTTAGTTTTCATAAAAGCCTTAGTCATTTTTAGTCATTTCCTACTTGGGAGAACTCAAAGTGTAAGACCTGGACAAGTTTGAAATCTTCTGTCCTCCACAATGAAAAATGGCTCAACATAAAAACGTGTGTCATTATTCTTAAACTCTTTGCAGTCTCCAGTATTACTGAAATGCAGCCAGATGATGCAGATGTTACGTTTTCGCCCGTTCCCCCTCCCAGACAGGCTAGCATTTAAATCTGGGCTCCGATCTGTGTACCTGGCCTGTACCACTACATTCACTGCCTTCGGTCAGCCACCCACCCTTCTTTCCAGTAATGGTATGATCTGAGCTTTTGCGAATAGTGTGCCAATCAAAATAAAATTCTGCTTGCATGGATTTTCGACAGGGCCGAAGATTTTGCTCCCGCATACCGACAGGTTATTAATAACTGACATATATCGTTTAAAAAGCTTAATAGTGCTCCGTTGGTCTCCAACGTGCCCTCTGAGAAGGCAATCAAAGACCACAACCTGCAACAGTAGTGACAGTAAACAAATTTTATTTTGTCATCTGCATTTACAGCTGGAATTCTGGGAATTCAAACACGACGTCTTTGCCTGTGAGCTTCTTGTAGACACCAGAGAAGGTCTCCACCTGAATCAGGAAAGAATAAAATCAACGTTAGATTAACTTAACCCACCTCTTATTTACCATCATCACTTTTTCTTTACATGATATAAAAAAAAAAAACAACAACAACAACAACCACCAAGGCTGCAGGACAAACTCATGTCTGCAGCTGAAGGATTTAAACGGGTCTATTTTTTTTTTATTTTTTTTTTTTAATGCCAGTATGTTGTACTTAATACAATCCGTGGATTTTGGATTCTTGAACAGACACAAACAAACTTTTTTGTTTGTGTCTGTTCAAGACTTTGATCTGTGCATAAAACTCAAAGTAAAGGACAAGTTAAGCCATAAATTCAATTTCTGTTTATGATCAGTCTGTGCACTGCATGGTTTAGCTCCCCAGTAATGGCCCCAAAGGACTCTGGGAAGATGTAGGAATATGCAGGACGCTCGTCCTCACC